AGTTTTATTAAATTTATACCCCGCCCTTCTCCCGGAGGACTCAGGGCGGCTTACAGCCAGCTTAAAAACAATAATACAATATAATACAAAATTTAAAAGTAATTAAAAATAGATATTCAATAGGCCGCTTATACTAAAAATTTTGTTAAAACCAATTTAAAATACCCCTAGGCCAGTCCTGCCCGCTGAAATAACCAGGGTTTTTGCTGTTTGGTTTGGCTTTTAAAGAGCGCCTTGGTATAGAACAGCGGTTCTCAACCTGTGGGTCGCGACCCCTTTGGGGGTCAAATGACCCTTTCACAGGGGTCGCCTAAGACCATCGGAAAACACATATTTCCGATGGTCTTAGGAACCGAGACACCGCTCCTCTATCCGTCTCTGCACGGCTTCGAGCTGGGGGCCGTTGCAGCACCGGATTCGTTTCCGTCGAGCATCTCCTAAGGGAGTCTGCGCTGCTTCGCGGCCCTTTCCGCGCAGGAAGCTGAACTAAGCTCTGCCGGCGCTGTCGCCCTCTTGGGTCTCTCTCTCTCCCTCTCTCTCTCTCTCTCCCTCTCCCCGCCTGGACGCTTCTCCAACCAGGCTGGGCAGCCTTCCTGCCCCCTCTCCCCAGCCAGCTGGAGCTGGGCAGGCCGGCAACCTTCGGAAGTGAGGCGAGGACAGGTGAGGCGCGCTGAGCCCTGGGCGCGGCGGGTGAGTGGGCGGCGTTGGTGCGCGCTTGGAGAGCCCTTATGGTTGGGGGTCACCACAACATGACGAACTGTATTAAAGGGTTGCGGCATTAGGAAGGTTGAGAACCACTGGTATAGAAGGAAGCATGACTGTGATTCATACCTAGGGTTTTTCTCCCTCCCTCCCTTCCAGCCATCCATCTTTTTCATCAATCGTTGGAAGTAGGAAGGGGAAGAAAGGTGGACCAGCCAGAGGTGGACTCTGGTCCCCGGGAGCTCAAAAGGCCCAGAGTTTAGAAAGACAAAACCTGCTGTTCCTTTGACCTTTTCTGACCACTTCAGTTTCCCTTCTATTTTCTGCAGTGTTCAGTTGTACTTCCTTGTGGTTGTGTTATGCAAGTGACTCTGCTCCAGTCTTAAGCTATAACGTTCACACTGTCACGGTTGGAAGCCAGGGGGCTCAAATATGAACTAAAAGTTGGGTCCTTGTTCAGTGTAAAAGCAGCCCCCGACGGTGCGCAGCGCAGGCCGTCCTGTCCATGAGATGCTCAGACCCCTGGGAAGCCTTTTTCAAACTTGCTGCTACTTTAAAATAATATCAGAAAATTAGGGCAAAACCTGCCTTATCCTTCCCATTACCTTGTCACCAGCCCCAGCTATACTTCATTATCAAGTATATGAAAATGTGATAGAAGTATATGATAAATAAACCATTTGCTAAAAAACAGGGATTCTAATTGGGCATTTGTGAAGTTGGCCAAAACTCCTGCTTGAACAGTTTAACTTAACAGATCAGCCCATTAGCAAAGGATGGGTGGTTGTAACACTAAATCTGAAATAACTATTCTGAAATACGCTACTCTGAATTTCAGCCAATGTCCTTAAGGCTAGTGGGTTTTTTCCTCTGTTGCTGATTCTATTAACTTATTTTATAGGTAGAAAAATATGTTTTAAAAACTACCTTAAAAAAGAAACTGTCTTTGGACCTGCCCAGCACCCCATAATCCAGCCAGGCCACAAAGCCACCCACCCACCCCCTGTCCTACAGGATTGATTCAAGGGTTCAGTATTGTTGGCACCTAGTGACATCTTAATAAGGTTTGTGTAGAAATCTTGGTTTCTGTTCACACCTCTGCATATTGCAAGAAAAGAGCAAAATACTCAAGAACTGAGCTTCTTGTCTGGCTCCCATTGGGCCCTGAAGGAAGCAGCTGAACGTGATCCTAGGCCAGCTCCCTTTCTGGGCCTCACCAATACTGGAAAAATAGTATTGCCTCTGGAATGGGACTGTTGTACGTATGTATCATAACAAGATTCCATATGTGATATACTTTGGGCAAAATTGTTGTTAAAAACATTGGACTATGCACTTGGTCTAATGCAGCTGTTCCTTTGTAGGAGGAACAGGCTGGGGAATTCTGGGAGTTGTAGTCCAGAGTTAAAAGTTGCCAAGGTTGAAAAAGACTAGGACGTTCTAATTTTTGTTTGAAAAAACAGCAGCCCGGTGAATTGGAAGTGAGGTACTTTGCAAAACACCAGAGTTGCAGGAAGAGAGGATCCTGTTCTCAGAAAACATTCCTCCACCTGTCATTTCTTGCTCTTTGTGTCTCTTGACAGAATCTGCAGTTGTATTGGAAGAAGGAAGCCCCCCAGATGCAGATCGGAAAGGAGTGGAATTCCACCCTGAATCTCAAGAGATTGAAGACTTTGAACCAATGTGTTTGGGGCAAGGCCTGGGTGAGGAGAGATTAGGCCGAGGAGCCTATTGTCGGGTAAGACAGCTCCTTCCTGCCCTGTTTGACCATCAGGCAGAGCTGCTCAAGGTGCTTCCTGATTGGAAGAGGTCTATTCAGATCTGGGATGTTCTTGAGAGGCAGAGCTTCAGGGGCTCCCAGGAATTTGCAAGTTCTGGTCAGATAACTGAATTGATTGCAGTATATGAATAGTAGTCATGGGGCAGGTAGAATTGCTCCTTGAAAGGAGATGTCACTATTGAACATAGAATAAAAGGGTCGGAAGGGATCTTGGAGGTCTTCTAGTCCAACCCCCTGCTTGAGCTGGAAACCATATTCCATCCTGGACCAATAGTTGTTCAATCTTTTCTTGAAAAGTTCCAGCGATGGAGTACCCTCAACTCCAGGAGGCAAGCTGTTCCACTGATTAATTATTGTCAGGAAATTTCAGGGGAAAAAATCACTGTAAACTCGGTAGAAAGGAAGAACAAAAGCCACTATAAATTCTTTTGAATTTTTTAAATCCAATTTTCATTAAAGAATTTTTCACAAGATAAAAAATGCACATTTTAAAAAAATAAATAAAGAAAAATAGTAAATAGACAAGAAAGAAAAGAAGGAAAGACAAATGATAAAGAAAAAAATGGGCTTCTACTCTTCTTGACAATGGTTATAAATGCATTTCTATTCTACGTTCTCTCGCTAGGATTACATGATAATTTCCTTCTTTCCATCGTCTGCCCTTTGTAATTGTCAATCCCATAAATCGCAAGTTTATTTTTCCCCACTTCTGCAAAAAGTACATAAGGGATTTCCAGTTACTAATAAATGTGGTTATTTTCCTTTCCTCAATGGAACAAGTCAATTTTGCCATTTTGGAAGACACTGTAGATCAGACATGCCAAATTGGCGACATCATATGACATCGCGCAACGTATTGGGACTGTTTTGCCATTGCCCGCAATGGGGTGGGCGCGGCTTCTGTGTGACACGTCCGGCCCATGGGCTGGCAGTTTGACATTCCTGCTGTAAATTGTTCAAGCCACAATTTGGAACGCAAATTTTGGGTGCCTGTTGGGAGGAACATCCTAATGATAAGAATATTTTGTCAGTGAAACTAATGGCCTAGAAAAATGGCCAGCTCCCTTTGGGTAGAGGCAGGTCAGCTGCTGGTTGCCCGAGTGGTTGAATGCGTGTGGCTGTAATGGATAAGGAGGCAATATCAGTGCTTCTGCCTGTACGTGGCACAAATAGAGCTGCACCTGCAACTGCCGTTTTTGAGAGCCTGGCCTTGTGTTAGAGAGCAGGGAAGTGGCCTTGTCGAGGTTGCCAGTGCTGGCCAAAAGGGTGGCTTCTCTGGGTGGAATGGTTCTGCAAAGTCCTCCCTAAGCAGGTGTCTGTTTCCCCCCCTCCCCTTGGCAGTCATTGTCGACTTCTAGTCAAGAGGAGAAGGCCCCCAAAGCAGAAGATCTGGCCGCTGTTGGCATTCCGATCGAAAGGGCCAGGAACCTGGAGGATAGCCGGGCCTTCGAAGCCCTCTCGTTCCAGCCTTCCCAGACCCTCAGCAAGTCCAGCTCCTCCCCAGAGCTTCAGACTCTTCAGGAAGTCCTCAAGGATCCGGGCAGTGAAGAGTTGGCCCAGAAACTCAGCAGCGAAGGCAAATCCAAGTCTCAGTCTGGGCACCTGGAGGAAGAGGCCGCCGGGGGCTGGCTGGCAAAGGGGGGAGATGACCAGGGCCCTGGAGAGATGAGGCTGGCTGTAGGGGGCCCTGCTTCTTCTCCCCACTCCCCAACTGGCCACCGCCCCCGGGGATACACCATCTCTGACTCGGCCCCCTCCAGGCGGGGCAAAAGGATTGAGAGAGACCCCTTTAAGGGAAGAGCCGCAGCTGCCTCCAACGCAGGGAAAGTTCCAGGCATCAACCCAAGGTGAGGATATTGATGGTAGAAATGGTCTTTTCCCCCTATTGAGCATTCATCAGAACTGGTCCCTTCTCCCAGAATCTAGGGCAACATTTAGAGAACTACATGAGATAGTAGTGTGAATGAGCAGCAGCTCCTGAAATGGGTAGAAACATCTTGGAAAAGCCTTGGGTTCAGTGCGTGGGTGGGCGGACGGATCAATCTAAACCAAAATCTAAGGTTCAGTTTGCTTCGGTTCAGTCACACCCCACATGCACTTGTAGATAATGTAAACATCTTTCCTCAGTAGAGTTTAGTAAGTCATGGATGCTGAAGAACTGAAGAAACAATAACTGTGTTCTTACCTGCACAATTAGCTCAGAATTGGGATTCCCAAATAAAATGCCTGCAGAACACAAAGCCGCCTCCTCATTTAGCATTGGTAAGGATGGCCAGCACTTCCTGGAGAAAGTCCTGAGAGCATCTGCAGGAGCTGAATGCCACCTCAATCTCCTTTGCCCAGGCCTGGTCCCCCGCAGGACACAGGCCCTTCCTGGGAGCATTCAGCTGCTTCTGCCTTGAAATAGGGCCGAGAGCTCAGTGGGGGCTTGTAACCTGATCCGGCCATAATAACAGTGCGTCAAGACTAAATGCCAGGAAGAATATCTGAAAAATTGCTCTCATCTCCAGTTTTATGAACAACCAGGTTTTTTTTCTCCTTCTCTCAGGAGACAGGCTCGTGTGATTTACAGTCTGAAAATTGTGTGAGGGATTGTGTCTGGACATTTTGGATAGTCGCCATCTCATTGTTCTTTTTCATGGTCTTTGCAATGTTTTGAGCAGACAACCAGAAATGTTTCCTTTTTCACATAGAAGCGTTCATTGCAGATTATTGTGTCTTCCATAAGTGAACAGTGATATGAAGGCCTTAATTCTGATGCAGCTAAACAGGTTTTCTTCCCCCCCCCCCCTTCAGCTTTGTGTTCCTGCAGTTGTATCATTCTCCTTTCTTTGGTGATGAATCCAACAAGCCTCTTTTACTGCCAAATGAGGTAAGCTTGAGCATGTTGTGTTTGACTCATTGATTGATTTTGTACCATTAAATTATTGCTGACTCTTAGTGACCACGTAGATAAGATTTATCTATGATGATCTATAATAACAACAACAATAACAATAATAATAATAGAGTTGGAAGGGATCTTGGAGATCTTCTAGTAGTTCAACCCCCTGCTCAGGCAGGAAACCCTATACCATTTCAAACAAATGGTTGTCCAGTCTCAAAAAACTTCCAGTGGGTAGAAATCGGGGGTGGGGAACGGAGCCTCGTTCCCCTGTGCCTGTGTTGCCGCGACATCATCGAAAGTCGCCCTATAGAGGCGACTGGCCAAAGGGCGAAGCTTTGTAGATCACGGGCCAGTAGTAGCTGGCCCGCTTGATCCAAAGAAGCCCTTGGGACTGGCAGGAAGAAAGGCTGACCGCACCCATGCTGCCAGCCAGAAGCTGCTGATCGTTGGAGACAATGAACACAAGCGGAAAGCAAAACAGCTGATCTGAGTGAGACTACTTTCCTTACCTCTGTACAAGTGAAAATACTGGTTCTGGAAAAAGCTCCCAAAAGCAAGAAATCCCCAAGCTATAGGGAGGGGGGAATTTTTCTTTTACTCCTCCCTCCTAAACTATAGGCGGCGGTTTAAGCTTCAGGGGAAATTAAAAGTGACTTATAACATTGTGAAGATAATTGAGGGACAGAAGAAGGATATTTTGGGAAGCTTTTACATTTATAATTTTTTTTCTATTTTTTTGTTTGGAAACCATTGGATTATAACTTTGTAAACTTTTTAAAGTTTGGCTGGAATGGACATCTAATGACATCTAGTGGCAAAACTAAGAACTACATTTAGCTTTGTTTCTTTAACCTTATTAAGCTATTCTGACTGGAGCCTCAGAACTTGGCTAGAAGCCCAGACACAGCTTACAGTTTAAACTCTTTAATGTCCTTGGAATCTATAGTCCTGGAGATTGTGGCTGGAAAAGAGTGGCTGGGTTTTATTTTTACAATTAAAAATAAAAGTAGTTTTTAAGTCATCTGACTTCTCTGGATTACAAATACAGCTTGACCTGGAGTTTTTACAAGCTGTTTTGAGACAGAGTGAATAACAAGAAACTTCTACTAGCAGAACACTTTGGATTATAATTTGAACAGTATACTTTTTCCTTTTTTCTCTTTTGTTCTTTTTTCCCCATTATTACTATTTACCTCTCCTATTTGTTAGGAGCCTATTGGATTACAAATTTTGATTTACTTGGTGGATTACAAAGTATGACTAAAAGATAAAGATGAGCGTCCCAAATCTATCTAAAGCTGGAAAAAATTAACTTCTGCTTCCTCCTCTTCTTCTGCAAGTCCAGTTTATCAGAGATCAATTGATACAATGCTCCAACAAGAAAAGGCTAACAACTTCCAGAAGGAAACACAAGCGACACTACAAGCAATCCAAGAGGCAGTTGCTACTTACATGGCAGTTACAACGAGAAATCATGAGGAGATGAAAAGTGATCTTGAAAAATGAATAAAAAAATTAATAACATGGACTCTCAATTTGAAAATTTTAAACACATGATCACAAAAAATCAACAAAGAATTCAAAAAAATAGAAGATAAATCAACTGAGGTTGACCAGAAATTAGAAAAGTTAAAAGATGAAAACCAGAAATTGATGCAAATAAATGGAGAATTAGAGGACTCGATAGCCGTCATGGAAATGGAAAAGGCTTCTTACTTCTTAAGATTTCAAAATATAATGGAAGACAAGGAACAGGACCTTCTAGACCTGATAACGGAATTATTGGCAGACGCATTAGAAATTGGGAAACAGGAAATGGAAGGAGAATTGGATCAGATCTATCAAATCAATTCAAACTACGCTACAAGAAATAAAGTTCCTAGAGAAGTACACGTTAGATTTCTTAAAAGATCCATAAGAGACGAGATTTTGAGAAGAGTAAGAGATGAACCTTTGAAATACAAAGAAAAAGAAATTGTAGTTCTCAAACATTCTTAGAAGAAAAAGAGAATCCCCAAGAGAATACCAATTTTTAACTAGAAAATTAATTGAAAAAGGAGTGAATTTCAGATGGCTGATCCCTGAAGGGATTTTAATTTATTGGGACACAAAAAGATATAGATTGGACACGCCACTGAAAGCAATGGATTTCTATGATAACCACAAAGCGTTTATGAAAGGAGGTGATTTTGAATCTGGTACAACGAGAAAAACAAAGAAACAGGAAGAGACAACTATAGAAGGAGCAGCTAAACCAAGAGAGGAAGAAGAAATTAAAAATACATATACAGAAGAAGGGGCAAGACCAAGAGAACAGAGAAAGATAGGATCGATTAGAAGATTAAGACCTAGATATAATTGAAAGAGATGGAGAAGGAAAATGGGATCCTGTCAATGAATATAAACAGACTGAATTCCCCCACAAAAAGGAATTTTTTTTTTACACAACTACAAAAATTAAAAATAGATATAATTTGCCTCCAAGAAACACATATTAAGAGATAACACCATACATGGTTAGAACAACCGAAAATTGGTAAATTCCATTTTGCATTACCACAAAAGAAAAGAAGAATAGTCCTATATATTAAAGAAACGATGAAGCCTAAACAAATTTATGCGGATGAATATTAATGGTGGAAATAATGATGGACCAAAAACAGATACTGATGGTAGCAATATATGTACCAAATGATAAACAAGAACAATTTTTTCAAAAACTATATAAAAATATTAGAATTGGACTATCGAAATTTTTGTATAATGGGAGACTTCAATAAAGATGAAACTTTGGACTATAAAAGCACTAAACAAGGGAAGAAAGGAAGAAATATATTACCTAAACCTTTTTTAAAAATGGCAGAAGAACTCTGTAGTCAAGACATGGAGAGAAAAAAATCCAAAAAACTGCAGTATACATTTTATTCAAATAGACATAAATCATGGTCTAGAATTAATATGATGTGGACGTCCTTGGAACTTAGCACAATAATACAAGAAATAGAGATAGAAACTAATATCTGGGTAGATCACAACCCAATAAAGATGACTTGGAGAGGAGCCAAGAAAAAATTAAGATGGTGCTTGAACAAATCTATATTGAAAGAAAAAGAATTTATACAATTAGCGACAAAGGAAATGGACTTCTTTTTAAAAATAAATAAGAAAGAAGAGACGTCGCTTTAAAATGTGTGGGACACAGCTAAAGCATATTTCAGAGAGTTGGCTATAACCTATACTGCTAAAAAGAATAAATAAATAAAACAACAACAGTTAAAGTTGACGGAAGAATTTAGAAAATTAGAATTGGAACTACAAATAGACCCACAAAAGAAAATACTTAAAAAGCTAAACTTAGTAGAGGTGGAAATAATGGCTCAATAGATTAAAAGGGCTAAACAGAACTTTTTTGAAAATGCCAATAAACCAGGGAGATGGTTAGCATATAGACTGAAAAAAGAAAAAGAGAAAATATAAGGAATGGCTGCTGGAATTGGGTATGTCTAGTTTAACGAAGAGAAGGACGAGGGGGGACATGATAGCAGTCTTCCAATATCTCAGGGGCTGCCACAAAGAAGAGGGAGTCAAGCTATTTTCCAAAGCGCCTGAAGGCAGGACAAGAAGCAACGGGTGGAAACTCATCAAGGAGAGAAGCAACCTAGAACTAAGGAGAAACTTCCTGACAGTTAGAACAGTTAACCAGTGGAACAACCTGCCTCCAGAAGCAGTGAACGCGCCAACACTGGAAGTTTTTAAGAAGAAACTGGACAGCCATTTGTCCGAAATGGTGTAGGGTTTCCTGCCTGAGCAGGGGGTTGGACTAGATGATCTCCAAGGTCCCTTCCAACTTTATCATTATTATTATTATTATAAAAAACTGATAAACAAGTTGCAAGACCCAAAAGGTGAATTACAGTTTCAAAATGACACAATTAAAAAAATTATTAAAGACTTTTATGAGATACTTTACAACGCAGAGGAAACGTCAAAACAAAAAATACAGCAGTACCTAAAAAAAGCAGACTTAACAAAAATTCCAGAGAATATTCAAAACATATTAAATGGGAAAATATCAATGATGGAGATAGCAGAGGCCATAAAAAGGCAAAAACATGATAAGACCCCAGGCCCAGATGGATTACCTGCGGGGCTCTACAAATCATTACAAGATATACAAGATAATCGCCCGGCCGCCCTCTTCAGGGTGACCCGCTCTCTCCTCCAACTGAGGGGAGGGGGG